AGCTCCGCCGCCACCCAGCTGCCGGCTGAGGTCTCGCGGGGACCCTCGAGGACCCCAGACCCGGCCCCGCCAGGGACACACCCCGGGCGCGTGGCCGCTGCCACTCCCGAATCTCTCGTGCGTAGCGGCGCCCCCACCCTCGCGGGCGCCCTTGGTCCAACTGCACCCCCATCCTGCACTCTCACGGACCCCCTTCTGCCCGCTGCGGCCCCCTGCACTCCGCTCGCCCTGGGCGACCCCGAGCTGGGCCCCAGGAGATGAGCCAACAGGTCCCGGCGTTGGAACCGCTCGCACAGGTTGCTCAGTCGCACTTCACTCGTTCACCGCCCGGCCCGGCCCGTGCTGGGCGCTGAGGCTGGAAAGGACGGGTCGGGTTGCTCCGGGCTGAAGGCGGGAGAGATGGGGAGGCATCGGGCATGCGGCCCGCGGGCACGGAGTTTCTTTTAGGGAGTACGAACATGCTCTAAAATTAGATTGTGGTGATGGGTGCTCCAATATACTAAACATCTTTTAATTGTATATTTTGAACACCTTACTGCCTGCAATTTCAAGCCAGAACTCGCCTGTGGGGCAGGCTACTTTGGTCAGCAAGGTGTTTAAAATTACTTAATGTAACTGCAGACACCCGTTATCTGGTGACTGGTCAGCAACGTTGGGACACGGAAACACGTGTATACTCCTCACGGGTCAGCAAGGTGTTAAGTGGGTGAATTAATTTTATGTGAACTATACATCAATAAAACTGATTTTTAAAGAAGAAGCCAAGAGACTCACCGTCACCAACAGGGTGGGAACTCAGGGAAGCAGGCAGCAGCTGCCCCAGCTCAGCTCGACCTGGAGTTAGAACCAGGATGTGCACTGCAGGACACAACCCAGGGCCAGAGTACATTTTCCTGTAAATATGTGGCATAAGAGGCTTTTTTCTTTTTAATGTTCAACTTCTCTAGTAATAAAAAAAAAATGCAAATGAAAACAAGGCAGAGCCCTGGAGTGGGCAGGCTTTTTTGTTCTGAACAGCAACCTGCAATGTTGGTGGCCTGCAACAAGACATTGAAGCACAGCTGGGAGGGCAAACAGGCACCGACCTTCACAGAAAATAATGTTCCATGTCTAGGAAGTGACCTAAAGATGAATCCGATTCAAAGATAATTATCATTTAGCAACAACTTGAGAGCACCTAACAGCCCAGTAGTTGTGACATGGTTAAGTTCTGAGTGCTATGCCACGATTTAGCTACAGTGCTGCCTGAGATTTGTCAGTGACATGAAAAATGCTCCTATTTAGGTGAAAAACAAAGCAAGACAAAACATTTCCATGTATTTGTTCCCAAACATGTAAGCTTTGTTTTTTGTTAACCCTCACCTGAGGATATTTTTTCCATAGATTTTTAGAGAGTGGAAGAGACGGAGGGAGTGGGGAGAGAAGAGAGACACTGATGTGAGAGACACATTGATTTGATTGGTTGCCTCCAGCACTGGCCCCAACTGGGGTGGGGATAGAGCCTGCAAACCAGGTATGCAGGTTCGTGCCCTTGACTGGGAATTGAACCCGAGACCCTTCGGTGTGTGGGCCACACTGGCCAGGGCTGTAAGTTGTTTTTTGAACTATAAGTAGTACAGTAAAATAAAAGCCATCACTTGCTGGTGGGGTGATTGTCTTCTTTTTATGTTCATTTTCCAAATGAAATATTACCTCTACAAACATTACAGTTTAACCTGAAAAACAACAAAAAATCAACATATTTTTTAAACAGCTCCAGGAGTTTACTGAAGGAGGAATGAACAGATCTTGAAAAGTGCCAGTAAGTGGTGAAATAAAAGTCTAGAATAATTTCAAGGTCTCTACCTTGGAGGGATACGTTACAAAGAAACAGGTTTGTGAAAAAATGAATTCCATTTTGGACCTAAGGTGTTTGAGGAACCTGTGAAGTCCAGTACAGATGTATAGAAAGCCACTTCGAGCTCAAAAAAGGGAATTGATGTTCAAGATTTAAAAATCCGGGGATCTTTGCTGTGGAGGTGGGAGTAAAGATGCCTACTGTTCCTCCTCACCCACGAGGCACCTTCCTTGAAGAGGTCAGAGAATTGTGCTAGGTTGTAAAGATCCAGTGTAATTTTTTGTGCTTTTGAACACCGTTCTTAAAGGCTGGGGTAGTACCTAGACACATAAAATAACACCTCATTGTAAATTTAGAAGTGTCTTACTTTGGGGGAGGGGGAAGCACAGCACTGCCAGAACCTTCCAAAATTGCTCAGCTGCTGGAAAGATGTGACCATTTATTAACCTCCTCTTCCTTGAATTTCCTTTAAGACAATCTTCTCCTCCTTTTGCCCAACAACTTCTCATCTCATGCACCGCTGCAGCTGCTTCTGTTATAGCACGCTCCCATGAGCCCTCTCCCTCGCAAAGCCTTGCGTGCTTATCTGGGGAAGCACATGTGCCAAGCACCCTGGGGAAAATAAAAGCTACAGCCCAGGTGGGGAAGACGAGCATACTACAAAAATTGTTAAATAATAAAAGGATTTCAATAACAGTTCACCTGTCTACCTACTCTGCTGCCAGCCCTTTGCAAAATCCAGGTGTGGGGAGGGTCTGCACACACTTGCCAGTGTGACTTGGGTCCTCCTTTTGCTCATGAAAAAGCCCAGAAAAGCCTTCACTAATAGCTGCCCTGTAGGCACTCAGGATCTGTTGTATGTGGTATGCGTTTTCTCTTCCTTTTGTCTATTAGTGTCTGACTTCTCCAGATCACTCACATTGCTTTTGTCATATGTGTTACTTTTTCTTTTATTGATTTTTAGAGAGAGAGATAGAGGGTTGGAGACAAACATCAATTTGTTATTCCACTTATACACGGATTCTTCTGTATACCCTGACCGGGGATTGTATCTGCAACCTTGGCGTATCAGGACAACACTCTAACCAAATGAGCTACCTGGTCAGGGCTGATTCACTTTTAATTAAAGTAACAGTTCTGACATGTTTTCCCTGCAGGAGCTAGTCAGTCAAGTAAGGGTTTGGGTTTGAATGCCTGTTGCTCAAACATGAGTTCACAACCACATTAGGCCAGAGGAAGGACATCTTAGTTCTTTGTTTCCACTGGGGCTAACAATGTCACCTGAGCTATGATTAGGTCAATCTTTCCAAACCTTGGACTCTCCATCTTTAAAAAAATGCACATACTACCCTGACTGGTATGTTCAGTTGGTTGATGTCCCATAAACCGAAAAGCTGAGGGTTCAAGTCCCAGTCAGGACACATACCTAGGTTTCAGTTTTGATCCCTGGTCAGGACATGTACAGGAGGTAAATGGTCCATGTTTCCGATGTTTCTCCCTCTCCTTCCACTTCTCTCTCAAAAATCAATAAACATGTCCTCGAGTGGGGATAAGTATAATTTACCTGACAAGTATAATTTACCAAGGTGTGCCAGATGCTTAGAGAACTTCAGCAAAGGCCTTCTGAGAAGCCAATAACTGCCATACAGCCATTGTCTTTAAACATCCTCGTGAAAGAAACTTCCAGTTACCTTCAGCATCATACACATGCCAAGAAAAACCTTTCACTAAACACTTATGTAAATAAAATCTTCCTTTTATGCATCTTGTGTTTCAGAATTAAACAGGATTCTTAATACTTGAAAAACATAGATACCCAAAATATTGTAATTTGTCAAAAGAAAAATTCACCAGTTTTATTGTATTCAGAAAGTTGTTGACTTGCTAAAAATGAAAACTTGCAGAGAGCTGAGAAATGAGAAAGTTCCACAATTTCTGGTATCATTTTATAACGTATTCCACAATTTACATTTCGGTTTCTTTCCTCAGTTCCTATTTTGGAAAAAGGAACGGAAAAACGATTAAAAGGCTCCCTCTGTTTGATGAGATGCAAAAGGGGAGGAGGGGTTGGCTTAATTCCACATTTTATCAAGTTAAAATTTAATATCAATTTGTTAGTTTGTAAAACTAACATCAATTTATATACACCATAGTATATTATAAAGTAAAAACCTTAACTCTTCCGACAGTTATTCTGTCTCAGAGAGCAAATGACCTGAAAACTGGATTACACTGGATTACAAAGTGTCACCAGAATTGCTTTGGAAATATGATAATGTTAAACAAAATCACAAATCCAACAGCACACGCCGCAACCAAAACCTTTTCTATGGATCTAAAAAGTCTTTTGGGCATATTCGTTGGGCAAGGAACCGGGTTCCTTCTGCTAACATTCTGTTCTCTCCTTCCCGCGCGTCAGCGTGCCCAGGTCCGCGGTCCAAATCCTTCAGGGTGGGGACGCACATAACCACGACAGAAACGGCCAAATGCGACGGCAAAGCCTAAGGACGGCTGCCTGGTCCCTCGATGCCTTCCGCGGAGGCCGCCCCTTTAAGTCCTCGCCCCGTGGGCAGCCCGAGTTCCAGGCTCCTCAGAAAGATCGCTGGGCTCCGGTACCTCTTCTTCCAATATCTGTCTCAACCAGCGGTCCGCGCTGGTCTCCTGCCTAAAGAAGCACCAGATGACCAGAACCATGAGGGACAGGCTTAAGGGCAGGACCCTCCACCAGGGCCGCTGCCGCCCCCTTCCCAGGGACTGCTCCACCGTCCAACGAGACGGGCTGGCTTTGCTGGAGGAAAACTGAATGGGACGGTCAGGGTCGTCCTCTTCCTCGACCTCGGCCGCGGGCCGGGCCTGAGCCCGGTCACCGGGCGGCGGATGCAGGCTTCGGGAAGTCCAGCGCACAAGCCTCAGCGCCCGGACAGCCCTGGAAGAAAGAGAACAGTGAGCGAGCCTCACGCTGCGCCCGCCCTTGGCCCCGCCGAGACCGCGGGGAGCTCACCCAGCAGCGGGCGCACACAGGACACAGCTCATCACGACCCTAGCAGTGCACTCGGCTCTGCGGCGCGCGGTGCGCGCGTCACTTCCGTCGCGTGAAACCGGAAACCAGCCGCAGTTCCAGGGCTCCGCTCACGACTACCGAACGTGGGACCACTTGCGCAACGGAACTGACGCATATTCTCTAGGCGGCCTCTTCCGTCGCAGGCCGGGCCCTGCAAGCCGCAAGGGCATGCCGGGAAATGTAGTTTCTCCACCGGCCCGAAGAGGAACTAGCTTGCGGGTTCTAAGTCTGCGGCGTCGGGATGGAGGCCAGTCGGCCGAGCAGACTAAGGGCGTCTTCTGATCAGCTGGCCTCACAGCGGGCACCCCAGCGGGCCGGGCTGCCCGAGATCGGCGCCCTGAGCGTGCACCGCGTGGACACCTCCTCCCGCAGCCTTCCGACGCCCCAGTTTGTTCTCCTCGTGGGACTTTAAGTCACGGAAGTCATCTTGTTCCCTCGATTACTGTCCCCACTAGGACCGAGTTCCGTGAGCACATAGCCTGCCTGCCGGGTCCCCCTGGCAGGGAGCACCCCTGCGCCCTCGGACCCGGCGCAGGCATCTACACCCAAAGCTACTCAGGTCCCAGGGCTGCCCAAACCGCTCTGCAGGACAAGCATTGCCGCGCAACGCTCTCCCTGCCGCAAGGCCGCGATTCCCTCTCCCTGCGCATCTGGGCACACCTAGAGCTCTCAGGGGAAGCCACCTTGCACTTGGGCACATCTCCCTCTCCTGCCCAGGGAACCACGTGTGCACGGCCTAGCACTCGTCCTCTTTGTAGACTGAGGCTGCAGTGTGCTCCGGTCCACCTTCAGGAGTCAGGCTGGGACAGTGTCCCGCGGGCTGTCCTAGGGTTTCCTGTTTTTCCTGGTTCCCCAGTTGGCTCCGTAGGAAAGTTGCTGGAGCCTTCTGCCCTCAAGGCAAACTGGTCCTGCGTCTGCTGAGCCATCCTGTCTGAAGACCACATAGGGACGTCCAGGCATGATCACAGACTCTGTGGGTGGGTGGGGGTGTGGGGGGGTGACCTGATGACAAAATCAGATCAGGAGACCACCTTGTGAACTGTGATGTGCTGCCTCTGTAGCTCAGCATCTTTGCCTATGGAGTGCCCTTCACCTGCACCTTCTCCCTGGCAGGGGAAGCACCAGACTCAAGACCAGTTTTGCACCCTCAGGAACTCTCCAGACATTAGAGCAAGGGTGGCAAGCTAGAGGTGTTCTGAACTCAGCAACGTCTGGGAGTACTCCCCACCCCAGGAAGCCCAGCTCCAGATGCTTGGCGGCAGCTCAGTTCCCAACCTAGGAGTTCAAAGTTACTGTGTCAACAGAGGCACCTGTGTGCCCAAATCCTCCTCATTTGGCCCTGCCCCACCATTTCCACCCCAGAACCCCACCCAGAATCAGTGCCAAACCAAGTCACCCACAGGGAATCCCAGGAGCACACACTGTGGGTGGGAGGAGGGGGCATGAAATGGGAGGATGGGCCAGAATCATTCTGGAGGGCTTTCTGGAGGAAGTGGAGATCAAAGAGCTCTGTGGTTAGGTGGCGAGCTGCTGATTGGGCTGATGCAGCCGCCTGGTTGGGATGCTTTAGGGCATCAGGGCACAAGCTGCCTTGGGACAGCAAAGTAGAGGCAGAGCTGGGAGGCAGGCAGGGGCTCAGGCTTCACCTAGGGAAGGGCCACTAAGTCCATCTCAGTCTCAATGACTGCCTTGGGTGGGTAACAGAAAGAAGACACCGTGCATGGGTGACTTAACCCCTCGAGCTTCTGTTTGCTTCATCAGCTGTAAAATGTGCCTCCTTAGCAGGCCGCTGCTAGGACTGCTGCTGTGCCTGGGATGCCTGGATGGCATGGAAATGTCCTATCCTGAGGCAGTGGAGGGCACTCATTGCCACTGGGTTCCTGGGGCACTTGAGGCCAGGGTCTAGGAGGAACAGCACAAGCCCATAACAAAGTGAGCAAACTCAGGTGTCCAAATGACCCCTCCTCTGTCCCAAGCTCCTGCTGCCACTTGGTCTCTATTGTAGGTGAAGGCCTGATGGAAAGAACATAGATTTGCAGAGTCAGAAGAGGATGGCAGCCCCTGGCCTCCATGAGTTGCCTGGTGCTCATAATCAGGTCTCCTGTTGGACATAAACTGTCAGAGGACATCAGCATCAGACCAGGCTGTGGTCCTCTGTTAGGGCAACCCCAGGAGGCTGTGACAGGCACCCTTTCACAGTCACCCTGCTTCCTCATAGTGTCCAATCCAGAGCAAAGCCACTCAACCAGCACTGGCCTGAACGCACAGCCCCTCCTAATACCCTCCTACTGAGACGCCCATGTCCCCATGCTGCACATTCTCCCTGGCTGCAAGGAGCACAGACCCATCTTGTTCGGCCACAGGTGTGTTCCCGGTGGAGGGCAGTGACAGATGCAGCTACTCTGGTGTACCTGACCCTTCGATGCAGCGGAGCCCACAGTGGGCAGAGCCAAAGCCAGATGCACCTGGGGGGCTCCTATGTCTCTGGGGCTCTCCCCTCCCTGACCCCAGCAAGCCTAGCCGAGCACTGGGTGACAGATGCCTGGCACTGCCAGCACTGTCTGCTCCTGGTCGTGGTCCCCCTTCCCCCCTCCCAGGGACATAAACTAACACCTCAGCCTTCATTATCTAAAAGCACACAGAGAAACCTCAGACGAGGCCTAATGTCCCACTAATGGGCAGGAAGCCTGCAGCCCTTGTGTGCCCAGTGCCGGGAATAATTCATTGTAGCGCCACTTGAGAGCTGACATATTGGAGCTATTGATTTTCTCTGCGAAGATCAATATGCATGGGGACAGGCAAGTCATCCGCCTTTGGAAGGGCAGAGCGTTTCTCCTGGGGACTGAGGCCTGACAACAGGTGGGGGCTGATGGGAACAGGATGGGCATAGACCTCTGAAGGGCTCAACACTACCCAAAACAGGAGGCTGGCTGAGAGCAGATGCTGGGACATATGCTCGGGCTCTAGGCCTGGCAGCCTGACTGCCTGTGTGGCAGGGGGCTGGGGATACCCATGCCACTTGGCCTGGCAGGCCACCCAACATGGGCTGGACATGTGTAGGAAACTGTCTCTCTGCCAACCCAGGGTCTTTGGTGCTGTACCCCAACTTTGCCAATAACAAAAGCCAGAGTTCAGCTTCTATCTGCCAAACTCCTGGCTCCATCGTGAACATGGCTGAGGGGCAAGGAAGGGGAGAATTCATTGACACTCTACTGAGACCCCAGATCTGCTTCTTAAATCCTTCTCAGACCTGTCCCCCACTCTTAAACCCTCAGACTGTGCCTTGTTGGGCCCCTCCCCAGTCTCTGGTCTCAGGTCTCTCTTGTCCAGACTCCCATCCCACATGCACTGCCCAGATTCCTATGTGCTCTGGTTTCTCCCCCGTCTAGAAGTCTCTGTTTTAACCTGGGTCTCCTCGGTCTTTGGCCAGCAGAGAGAAGCCCTGGAATTATGCCAGCAGAGAAGGACAAGGGTCTGGTCGTCTGTAGATAGTATTCCCATGGCTGGCGCCAGCGGACATCTCCTCACTGGGCCACTTACGGGGCCCAAGGCCCCTGCTGAGGCTCCTGCTCCACTGAACAGGGCCTGAGGCAGAGGCCAGATGGGCAAGTAGTCCTGTGGGGTGGGGGTGAGAACCAGGGCACTCAGGAAGGAGCAGGCCTTGGGGGTGATGCCCACTGTGGGCCCTCCTCATGAAAGCCCCAACCTCAGATCTGGCTCCAGCGACAAAGGGAAGAGGTGAGTGTCTTGGCTCCCCCGGGGCTGGGAGGAAGGTCCAAACTCCACAGCTGGGCCACAAGGTCCTTCAGGCCACCCTATCCCACTGTCCAGCCAGTGCTTCCAGCTGTGAGTTTCCTTTTGCAGCTGAAACAAAGGAGCACAGCTGAGTGGTTAAAAAACACTGATTTATTACCGTGCAGTTGAAAATGGGCTTCCCTGGCCAAAAATCAGAGTGTCTGCAGGGCTGTGCTCCGGGGAGGCTCCAGCGGAGAATCAGTTCCTTTCTTTCCAGATTCTAGAGGCCACTCCATCCCCTGGCTCGTGGCAAACTTCCACCTTCAAAGCCAGCAGTGACCCTGCTGCTGTGTCACATCTCCCCCTCTCACTCTGACCCTCCTGCGTCCCTTTCCTAGGAACCCAGTATCATCTCCCATTCACGGTTCTTACCTGAATCACTTCTGCAGGGTCCCTTCGCCATGTGAGGTGACATATCTGAAGTTCCTGGGGATTAGGGCCTGGACGTCTTTGGGGCCATCATTCAGTCGGCCACAGGCGCCAGCTCTCCGGGGTCTGGGTCCTTTGCAGCTGTCCCCTCTGCGGCAGCACCTTCATTTCCTGCAGTTTGGCCAGATGCGCTCCTGCTCCCGTCGGCATCCCGCAGACAACCTCCTCTGGTCACACCGGCCAGGACCTTCTCAAGGGCAGGGCGGCATCTCATCTTCCTCAGCCCACCTGCCCCCAGTGCGCAGCCCGCGCCGGGGACACAGAAGGGCTGGGACACAGAAGGGCCTGGCGCTGGCCTTTCCTGCCCAGCAGCCTGGGCAGCTGCTGGGATGTGGCCCCAGGGCAGCGACTCGCAACCTTTTTCATCTCATGGCACATAAGCTAATTACTAAAACTCTATGGCACACCAAAATATATATTCTTTGCTGATCTGACAAAAAAAGGTGTAATGTTGATTCATTCATACGGACAGCTACTGCTGTGCTGGCTGTTGTCATCTGTTTGACAATCTCAGGGGAAAGAGGTTAGTGCTCCTGACTAAATAGTCAGGTATTGCACGTTGTAAACATTCTTGTGGCACAACAGTGTGCCACGTGGCACAGTGGTTTAAAGTCACTGCCCTAGGGTTCAGGGCAGGGAAGAGCAGGGACCTCCCTGGCCCAGCAGGGGACAGGAGCAGTACCTGGGGCAGAGAGAGAGCCTAGAGGCCCAGGAGCCCTCTGGGACCCACCCCAGGCCTCCTGCAGATCATGGCTGACAGCTATGCTGGGTCGGAGCGAGCCTGCCATGGCTGAGGCAGGGCTACCCCACAAGCAGGACCTGGAC